GCACATTGTTCATCACTACAGTCTTACTCAGCCTGTTGTTGCTTACGCATTTCAAGCCATCCTCCTCCGCATCCTCTCGGGTTATCATGTGCGTTCGATGAGTGATAAAATTTTACACTGACGTGCAGTCGTATGTGTGTGTGCATGTATTTCCGTGTGTAGAACGTATTCAGTTCACTCAGAAATGTGTGCCCTTCGCAGAATGTTCGAATCTGCATTCAGGCACGTTCACCGGTTACTTCGAAATACGCGTTGTTTCCGTGTAGGCTGTAGGCAAATGTTCACAATTTATGTCTCATCCACCCTGTCTACAATCGCCCACCCCTCTCGTCCGGCTATCCCGCCCACATGCACACATTGTCCAATGTGTTCCGGACCGTTTGTTTATCTGTGCGGAAAAAAACTAGATTGCGTTGGTGGCACATGGATTCGAACACTGACTACTGGTATTGTGGTCCGGATAAAACACTGGGTGGCTCAGCGTACCCCATATCAGTCACACAGCTGTTTTGCTTGATCTGTGAGCATCACCTTACATATCCTACCTAACCTATGGTCCAATTAGGTTATTCACATATCTGGATGAATCAACGTCCACGGTGGACGAAACACAGATGCTTTGTGCTTTTTTTTACGTGGTTCGGGGTGCAGATTATCTGAATTGATGCCCACTGTCGAGGTGTGCAGTTAGAACATGTTCATTCACTGTTACTGTCATAGGCGACTCACATCCCAAACGAACTTTTGTGATCAGTCAGAATTTCGCGTTCGGTCCCATTATTTGTTTCCTAATTACACACTCTTTTGATGACTAGCAGACGGGTGAAACCGCATAGCCATGTACACCTACTATTCAGTGATAGAAACCGGGACTTGGAGTGGCGAACCACATAAGGACCCACTGGGTTAGCTGTGGTATTCAATCAGACCAAAGGGTCCAAATTACGCCAGTGACAGCGACTAAACCACTGCGCCACCACCAACACTTGTGTGTTGGGTACCTAACCGTAGTAATTTATCATAGCTGTTCTATCTCCTCCCCCCCGATATTCTTTTCTATTTAATTAGTGATATATTTATATATAACTGTTGTGATGCTCATGAAAAAGTGCATTCGTAATCCCATCACAGTCTGTCCCGAACCCAGGACGGGGTTAGAGCGAATCTCACTATCAGTTGACCGCAGATTCCAGTTGTCGATTTGGACGCTCCAGTCTGTTATTAACATGAAACATCCGTTATCCCCACGACAAGACTAGGCAAAACGATCGAATATACGGTTATACGAAGGTCTACAGAGATGGTGTAGTCCCAGGTGAACGAATATAGCAAAAATACTCCATCTTTTTTTCTAACATAAAAGACCCCAGGTCGGGTGGTGTTAGCGCAGTGATTTAGTCGCTGTCACTGGCGTGCTTTGGATCCTGTTGTCCGAGGTTCGAGCCCCGCCACCGCCACCCGATTTCGGTGGTAGGCAGCTTTGCTTGTCGTCCGGTTCACACCGGCACCACACCTAACCTATCGGAGCCTT